TGAGGACACTGAAGACCAGAGAGGTCCAAGGACCTGCCCAAGGTCACACAGCGAGCAGAACCTAGGCCTTGCAGACTTCCTGCATGGCAGCCACTGACCCTCCGACCCCCATCCTGCCAAGGCTGCTCCCCGCCCCCCTCCCCAGCCGGGGTCCTGGACGCTGTCCACCGCCGCTATTACAGCCACTTCAGGAAAGACAGTGTAGATTGTAGTTATCCCATAGCAGGGCAGAGCCCCAAACTATACAACCTACTACCTCACCCCAAAGGGCCGTCAGTCTTGGCGCCGAGATGGATGCACTTCACGGGCTTCGGGAGGCACCTCCTGGAGGGGGGAAGAAAGAGCTGCAGGTGAGCGGGGCTGGCGCCAGGCCCAGGGGCGCCGAAGGCGCAGGGTTCCAGCAGGTGGCTCGGCGTCCTGGGGGCAGCCCCACCGCAGCGGGGGCAGGAGAAAACCGCCAAGCAGGGCCGAGACAGAAAGGCGGGGGAGGAGGGGAAGTCGGTGTGGATTCTGGGAAAGTGACTCGGGAGACTGGATGTCTCCCATCTGGACGAACGAGGCCATGATGTCCCGTGGGACTCCCGCACTGGTGACGCTGAGAAGGCTGTCATTTGTTAGAGGCCAACGTGTCAGAAAGGTGCAGTGAGTCCGCACCTGGCCACCTCCCTGGCGACCTGCTGCCCCGAGATGAGCCTGTGGCCTCAGGCCTACTCTTGCCAGCCCCTGGACAGGCGGGGCCCCTCCCCGCGCGCTCTGGTCGGGCTGGGCCCGCTGTCCAGGGTGCCCTGAGCTGTCCTCCCTTTGGAACAGGCTGCAGGATGCTGTTCTTTTCTTCCCAAAGGGAACCTGGCCCCCTGGGGACGGCTCGCACCTCCCAAGGGCCCCGAACTCAGTGCCTGAGGGCAGAGAGTCAGCTTCGACAAACACCAACCACAGCCACCACCGCCGCCACCGCCTTCCTGGGGGACTCTGAGGAAAAGCCGGTGAGGCGAGCGGTAACGGGAGGTCACACAGCTGATGGGTGGCTGAGCAGAGGCTAGAATGAGGAGAGCTCTGAGCTCTCCTTCCCCCAAACCTCTTCCATACCCTTGCTAGCAGGCCACCTCCTCCAGGCAGGCAGCAAGCTGGGCCGTGCCATTTCATAAGCACAGGCCTGCTGAAGCTAAGATTACTGATCCCGTTTTGCAGACGGAGAGAGTGCCTGGCCCCAGGTTGGGATGGGGGGACAAAGAGGTGACTCTCGAGCTCTGCCAGGCGTGGCCTTGCCTACTGCCACAGAGAGAGGCCTTGTGCCCGGTCCCAATGAGCAGGGCAGCTACTGCTCTCTGAAGGACCCCTGGGCACCCAGTGCTGTACCCTTCTCCCCCAAGAAGCACAGAGTTTAAGTCCTGGGGCCCTCGGCTAGCGACAAAAACATCAGGGCCCGTGCCCAGCACCGTCCATGCACAGAATGAGGTGCAGTCACCTGGAGAAGCCACGAATGCCCGAGGCAGCCCCGCTCCCCTCTGGGGACCTGGCTGGCTGCGCTCACGGGCGCCCCATGTTCCCTCCAGGCCCTGGCAGGAAGTACGCGTGAGAGGGTCCCTGGTCCTGTCCCCATCTCCACCTGGACTCCCTGCTGGCAAACAGGACTCTCCTGGCAAAGCCAGCCAGGCTCTGGGGCAGGGGCTAAGGGGACAATGGCCAAGGGTCTCCCTTAGACCCCCCTCAATGGTGAGTGCTCCGGCAGGAAGATTCTGCCTTGTTTGTCGAGGGGCGTCCAGCAGCGCCCAGCTTCAGCTCTAGAGCCTACACTGCCACCCCAGCTGGGAGCCAGGGACTGCCCAACGGGCCCACTCCCCAGGGTTGGCGAGGGGCAGGGAGACAGACACACACCCTGGCTGTCTCCACAAGCCCCCTCCCCAGACCCGCAGGCCCCCAGCCCAGTGTGGGAGACAGATACGACTTGATTCTCCACAGGTGGCTTTTCTTCTTACTCCAGACCAGACTCACCCGTGTGACGTCTCGGGTCGACGGCAGGCGGCTTGGGTGTATTAGGGGCACATCCAGGGCTGGTTCACAGCTGGGTGGAGAGCGGGGCCACCTCGGGGACTGCCCTCGAGGCAGGATGAGCGGGGACGGGGGCAGGAGGTGCAGCTGTGAGCTCTGGGGAAGGAGAGAGAGGGGTGAGCACTCCTCCCATCCACGCTGTAAGGAACCAAGGCTCCTTCAGGCCATGTCCAGTCTGATGGGGAGGCCAGACAGAACTTTCAGGGACCAGCAGGTCAAAGGTTCAATGTCACAAGTGCATCACGGGTAGATGAGGTGTGTCAGCTTGGGGATGCGCTGAAGAGCCGGCAGGAGGACACGGAAAGATGCGGCTTCGGCTGGAGGGGACAGCTGGGCAAAGGTCTGGCAGTGGACCACCAGGTCCCATCTCGAGATCTCTGTGCCAGACGGCGGGGCCCGGAGCAGACCCGGAGGGACATGGGTCTGACCACACCCCTCCCCATCATACACCCTTTCCCGTACTTCCCAGAGCCGGGCTGGTGGGAGGCGCATGCGGTGGTGCCCAGTGTCACCCATGCCATCCTGTGAGTCACACGGGCTTTCAGCTGGAGTGGGCAGCCTGCTTCCTGAAGTGACTGAGAAGCTCGGGGACTCCTGTGGGCTCAGGCTGGCGAGGGTGGGGCAGGGGGCGAGGTGCCCCTCTCAGGGGCACTGTCCCGGCCCAGGGGCCCGTCCTGACTCCCAGCTCACCAGCTCACCGTGGGGAAGGCGCGCCCAGCTCAGTGCCACTTCTGACCTGTTTGGGGTTTGGGAGAAAGGGAGCGGCGTCAGGTGTGTCAGAGACGCGGCTGCACCTGTGTCCTCGGCTCCGTGCCTCCTCCCTGCGCCCCTCTGCCGCTTGCCACGGGCCCCACATTTCAGCCCGACCTGTCTCGCCGAGGCCTCTGGTCTGGGGCAAGAGTCCAGACGAAATGGCTGCTGTGGCCACCCACCCTGTGCTGGACGATGCCGGATCACAGAGGACCTGAACGGTCAGGGCTCTGGCTCTCCCGTGCTGGTGCCAGCGCCATGCCAGGCTCACACGGCGCTCTGGGGCCTGGAGGCTCCAGGGGAGAAAGGCCAGGCATTGTCCCCCTGTGCGCCTGGCCGTTAGAGAGACCTGGGCGGAGGGGAGTCCGAAACTCCCACTTCACAGAGAGGGCTCGGGAGAGGCTGAGGTTCCTGGATCCTGGTGACTGAGGCCTGGGTCCTCGCGAGGAGACCCAGGCAGGAGGCTCCGGGACCTGGCCGAGGCCTCGGCTGGGCTCGCTTCGTGCCCTGCAATCCCACCAGCTCCGGCCCGTTCCAGCAGTGCCCTCCCGGATGACACGGGGGAAACCAGCAAGATCAGTCCCCAAGGGAAGAAACAGGTGTGAGACCAGGACGCGGCCGGACTGCTGGCCAGCTGGAGCACCACTCACATGAGCCCCAGATGCTAGACCTGGGGCCAGACCCCTGCGGTCTGCCCAGCCTTGCCCTGCCCCGACCTCTGTGGCCCCACCTGGCCCCGGCTCCCCCACCCCCGGGATGTCTGCCTCCTCCCCCCGCCCTCCTGGCCCGTCCGCCAGCCGTCCGCTCTCCAGGCCTTGGCCTTGCCTGTCCTCTGCCAGGAGCACCACCCCACTGGTTCCGGTTCCAGTTCCTTCGCCACGAAGGCCCCGCGTCTGTCGCCACACAGGTGCACCTCTCTACTGCCCACTGGGGGCCCCAACGTGAAGCTCGGCTCTGCCCGGCCCGGGGACAGCCTTGCCCTCCTGGGCCCGAGGCCTCCCGTCTGGAACTCGTGGGCTACGGCAGGGGAGTCGCTGGCGTGCGCGCTGCCTGTGAGCAGTGGCGGCATCCTGCGCCCCACCGGGGCCTGGGGCGGCTCCCACACTCACAGCCCACTCGGGCCCCCAGGTGACCCAGAAGCAGACACCGTGACCCCCAGCAAGGTCCCTACTCAGGCTTCGCTCCCACCAAGGGCAGGCTCACACAGAACCTGGCACTTGCTTTAGCCAACACCCCAGGGCTTGCGGGGTGGGGGTGGGGAATGGGGTCGATGCGCCCCACCGGGGCCTGGGGCGGCTCCCACACTCACAGCCCACTCGGGCCCCCAGGTGACCCAGAAGCAGACACCGTGACCCCCAGCAAGGTCCCTACTCAGGCTTCGCTCCCACCAAGGGCAGGCTCACACAGAACCTGGCACTTGCTTTAGCCAACACCCCAGGGCTTGCGGGGTGGGGGTGGGGAATGGGGTCGACATTGCTGGGTCTGTGGCCAGTTCGTGGTGATATCCGAGCTGGTGGGAGACAAGGGGCCAGTCCTGTGTGTTGGGGAGCATGGTTTGCTGGGTCTACCTGCCCTACAGCCCTCGGAGTGACCATGGGCCTCCGGCCTCTGGAGGGACAGCAGAGACCCCCCCTTCTCTTTGGGGAGGGGCCGGCGGGGGTCCTGAGACAGACCAAAGGAACCCCTCCAGCCAGCCTGGACGAGGGCTGGCAGCGGGGCTGGGCACAGGGCATGAAAGGGGCCCCCGAGCACGGCTGCTGGGCAGTGAGCAGTCAGCACTCGCTCTGCCAGCTGCCAGCTGCCGGCCCTGCCCGTCTCGTAGCGTCTGCCCGTGGGCAGGGCGCTGGGCAGGCCCGGGGTGGGAGGAGCCAGGCCTGTGGGGACAGGTGTGTGGGGGGAGGTCTTCGTGGGCAGGTGGCCCTTTCAGAGCCAAGCGAATGTCTGGAGCAAATAAGGCAGACAGACGGTGTCACCCCGAAGTCACCTCGGGCTTGGCTTGGGGCCACCGGGAGCTGGGACAACCCCCAACGGCTGTCCCCCGCCACCATCGCCCCGATTAAGTTTCTCCCCATAAAGTGGCCAGTGTTTCTGCTCAGCAAGCCATGCCAACAATGGAGTCTGGGAAAAAGACTTGGGGGGTGGCATCCGGGGGGCGGGGCGCTCCGCAAACGCGCTAACAGGATGTGTGCACTGAGCACTGTGTGACCGATGGGCCGGGCCGGGGCCGCGCTCCCACTGTGTGCCAGGCAGGGCCAGGACGCCGGGAGAACGGCCGGGCACTCAGCGTATGGGGCGCCAAAACTCAGCATCCAAACAGACACTTTGGTGTGAAGTTTAAAAAATGAGCTAATGCTAAAGTCCACGAAATAAAAATGTCGAACGTAAAGACAGGGTAGACCAGGGTCACTGAATTTTTCTTTTGCCTCAGGCTTCGACAGCTGGCCCAGTGCGGGGCCCAATGGCTTCAGCGTCTCCAAGACCACGCCTTGGGGACACAGGACAAACCCAGACTTAGAATCATGATTTCCCTGACCCCAGCTTCTTCGCAGGAAGCTGTACACCTCTGGGCCACGAAGGTGGGGGCGCATGTCACTCTCAGGCAGGAGCCCTGGCCCCGGGGTCAAGGTTAGACCCCAGCCCGCCTTCCTCCTCAGAGCCCCATAGTGACCCCTTGTCAGCACCTCTGCTTGTAGGTCCCCTGGGACGGATGCCATGCGCTGCAAGTCGGTGTCTCCCACCGGTGGGAGTCTGCCTCGCCCCGGCTCCCTGCTGTCCCATCCCCAGAGACCTGTGAGCCCTCGGTGGAAGGTGCCTGGGCAGGGGGAACGTGTACTCCCCAGGGCAGGGCCAGGCCGTCCTTCGGCCCGATGCCGCCTCCCAGGGCAGGGCAGGGCCCACAGTGGGGGCAGACGCACCCTCAGGAGCCAGAGCTCGGAAGCTCCCAAGAATAACATCTGAGAAGCTAAGCAGTCCTAGCAGCCCAGGACCATGGGTTCCAGCCCTGCTCTGGGGGACACAATCTACATCGTGGGGGGCGTGGGCTCAGGAGATTGGGAGTGGCTGGCTCTGGGGACTCCCAGGCCATGGCTCTGACCCCTGCTCTGAACTAACGATGGGCCTTGGGCAAGTTATTCAGGCCTTTGGCCTCAGCTGCCCACTCTGTGAAGTGGGGCCGGGGCTGTTGGGAGGACCGGAGGTGCAGCCGGTGCCCGGGAGGGGGCGTCAGCCGGGGGAGCTGCTCACGCCCCAGGGCGAAGCTCACGGTTTGCTCAGTGTCCAAGGGAAAAGCCAGAACGCGGGGCCCTCCCCGACCCCGCTGCCGTTCGACCGCTAGGTAATCGTTTTAACCACAAAGGCGCGTATTTATCTGAAAATATTCTCAACTCAGGCCGCAGGCTGGGTCACAAGGCAAGAAAAGGGGGCGGGGGAGGACGTCACCATTAAAAATACCAGGGGGCAGGGAGGCCTGGCCTGTGGCAACCCCCCCGGACACGGCTCCCCTGGGGCCGGCCCTTCCGCCCCTGAAGCCGGGCGCTCCTTGTCCCCAGGACGCTCTGGGCTCGGCCCGGCATGTGGGACACCCGGGGCTGGCCTGGGCGGCTCACCGTCCCCAGAGAGCCTGAGCAAACCTCACTTCTCGGCCACGAAACGTCCTCTCTGGGAACTGCAAGGAGGGGCCTCTGGGGCGCCGTACAGCGACCTTCCCAGGCGGGAGGGCTTGGCTGGGCCACAGGGGTCCGGGGAAGGCCGCCCGCTCCTGGCTCGGGAGCCCTACTGTGCGCCCTGCCACCCGCAGCTGCCCGAGCAAACACGGAGCAGGGTGCGGCTGTCCCCGAGCGCCTGGCGCCACCCCGCCCTGCCGGGGACGTGGCGTCCGTCCTTTTCGAAGGCCCACACTTCTCTCGAGTGCCAGTCCCTACTTCTCCCGGTGGAACATTCTGTGAGCTTCTACCGGGAGCTCCACTGCCCTCTGCGGACCTGACGGCCGGGTGCTGCGGGCGCGCACGCCGCACCCCTGTCCACCCGCTGAGGCCGGCGGCCGACACTGTCCTGCAGTGCATGGCGCCAGTGTCCTCCGCACGGCCCTCGGCCCCCCAGGATGCCCCGAGGCTGCCGGGGCCCCCCCAGGAGCCCGGCTCTGACCACGCG